CATTACCAGTCACAACAATATCATCAACATACACAATCAGGTAAACAACCAAGAATCCTCTCCTCTTCACAAAGAGTGTATGATCAGACTGTGTCTGTACATAGCCAAAGCTAACAAGGGCAGCCCTAAACCTTTCAAACCATGCTCTAGGGGACTGTTTGAGTCTATAAAGAGATCTCTTCAGCCTACAAACCTTTCCTTTCATATCTGTTTCATACATCCCTGGAGAAAGAGACATACCTCCTCATGTAATTCTCCATTCAGAAAAGCATTCTTTACATCCAGTTGATAAAGTGGCCAGTCTAAGTGTGCAACCAAAGATAGAAGAACTCTCACAGAAGTCATCTTGGCAACAGGGGCAAAGGTCTCTAGATAATCAATTCCATATGTCTGTGTATAGCTTTTTGCAACCATCCTAGCTTTGTACCTTTCAATGGTGCCATCAGCATGATAATTTATAGTAAAGACCCACTTACATCCTACTGGATCCTTCCCTTTAGGAAAATCAACCACTTCCCAAGTGTCATTCTTGTGCAGGGCATCAATTTCTGTTCTCATAGCATCCCTCCATTATGGAATATTAAGAGCTTCTAACACAGACCTGGGAATTGGGTTAGAGGCAACAGAAGAAAGGTAGGCAAAATATGAAGGAGAGAGCAAACTATAAGAAACGTGTTTGGAAATGCAATGTGTAGTACACTTCCTTTTTCCTTTCCTAATAGCAATGGGAATATCAAGGTCTGGGAAGGATGGCACCAAAGGAGCTGTAACAGTACCTGTTGTCTCATCTGTGACTGGAAGTGAATGAAGCTCATGTGCGGTAGGAGAAACAACCTGCTCATTTCTGGTTCTTTGCCTTTGATACATCCTGGGATTAAAAAGAGGGCGAGGAGGTAAAGAGGGAGGAATAGGAACACAAGAATCAGAGTGAAGTGACTGATCCTCCCTTGATTCATTTGAAGGAGGAATAGACTCATCAAAAGACTCAACTGGGACAGGAAGAGGAAGAGCAAACACATGTGACAAATCCTCCCCCTTTGGACAATGTCTCTCTCGAGAGGAACCATAAAAAGAAGAAAGCTCATCAAAGGTGACATCCATTGAGACATACCGAGTGCCAGTTTTCAGATCAAAAAACCAGTAACCCTTCTGTGTGGGGGAATAACCAAGGAAGATACACTTGTGGGCTTTCGGTTCAAATTTATGTCTTTGGACACTTGGAATATGTACATAACAGGTGCAAACAAAGACACAAAGAAGAATAGGGAAAAGATCCTTGTCCGGATGAAGGAGGCTGAAGGGAGACTTAAAACCTAAAACCCTGGATGGCATACGGTTTATAAGGTAGGTAGCAATGAGAACAACATCACCCCTAAATCAGTGAGATAGCAGGACAAGTTTTTCTCAACTTCAACAATATGTCTATTTTTCCTTTCAGCAACTCAATTATGTTCTGGGGTCTTAACACAAGAACTTTGATGAATAACCCCTAAATCAGTGAGATAGCAGGACAAGTTTTTCTCAAAATATTCTTTTGCATTGTCGGATCTGAAAATTTTAATCCTGGTATCAAACTGGGTTAGGACAAATTCATGGAATTGTCTCACAAGTCYGRGAACTTCATCACGGGATTTCATMAAAAATATCCAASTGAACTGRGAAAARTCATCAATGAACAAGATAAAATATTTGTATCCACCCATAGAGGGTAAATGGTAAGGCCCCCACACATCAGAGTGCACAATATTAAAAGGAGAAGAAGATCTTTTATTACTCAAAGGATAACTGTTTCTACAATGTTTTGACAGTTCACAAGACTCACAATGAAGACTGGACAAACTAATTCCCTAAAACAGTTCTGGGAATAAATGACTCAATGCAGAAAAAAAAGATGACCCAAACGAAAAATGACATAACATGACTCGACTGATAGACTCTGTAGATGTAGACCCAAAAACAGCTTTTCCGGGTTGTTCATGGCACTGTCCAGGAGTATCTAGCAGCTATATTCCATTCGCCTCACGGCCACTCCCAATCACCTTCTGAGACTCTAGATCCTGAAAAACACAATAGGAAGGGAAGAAGGTTACACAATAGTTTAATGACTTAGTTAGGCTACTTACAGACAACAGGTTTGTATTTAGTCTAGGTACATGAAGAGCAGAAGGAAGAACCAAGGAGTCTGTAGCCTTGATGGTTCCCTTGCCGGAGATAGGGGCAAGAGAGCCATCGGCTAGGGTGATTTTGTCACGTC